GTACCGAACCGAAAGCACTGTATCGAACGGTTCGATATCGATACGAGTATCGTTGCACCCCTAATAAATATATATAAATACTATATCTATAGATAACACAACAATTAATACATGTATTGTTTAATTAATAAAACACCAGAAAGTGATAAAAACACATTAGAAATAGAAATAGCTTCATAACAGATCTTTAAATCAACACATTGTCATCAGCAGATGTTTGCATGTTCAGTAAAAATATTTCAACAAGTTTTTGATTAAAATTATCAATGAACTTCAGCATTATGTAAGGTAAGTTTCATGTCCTTTGTTAGTCCAGTTTAGGACCATGTCTCTGACGTATGTATCATATCAAATATATGTCAGAGCAACCCCACACCTGCAGTTGTTCCAGTTTTTCACAGGTGTTTCCTGTCAGCTGGTCAACCTCACTCAGGCGGACATCCATATCAGCCAACCAAACGACAAGCTCCTCCCTTTGTGCTTCAAATCCCTCCGACTCTGAGACAAGGAGCTGAGAGAGAGAGAAAAAGAGTCAATTATAAAGAAGAGAGAAAAGTGAAATCCTCCTCAGAAGGTCTGACTCGCATACCTGCAGTCGACCTGTGATGGACTCCAGTTTGGTGTTCACGTCATCCCTCGCTGTTGCCAGCAGCTGAGTCTGCAGGGTGCCCTGGAAGAGCAGGGTTAATGTTCAACTCCTCCTGGTCAGGCTCCTCCTGGTCAGGAGCCGAGGTCTCCCCTCTCACCGCGAGAATAGATTTTTATGCTATTCTTCCAGGCTTGATCACGTGGAAGTATTTGGAAAACTTTTTTGGCCAGCGGACGACTGTTGTCTCGCAGAAAGTCAAATCAAATGTATGTGATACACAATTAATTCACAAGAACACATAAAAAACAAGTCCAGTTCTTGCCTGATTTCAACTGAATTCTGCATCAAAACAGGGTAACAGAATTAAAACGAGTGTTTGCAACAAATGTGAGCACAAAGCCTCACTTTGTACAAGCCTGCTATTAAAGTTCTCCTCTATGCAGACGACTTTCCTGTTTTCAAGGGACAACTTGGATCTGCTGTATAAATCTTATGGATACACTCTAAATGAAACAGTAGTGTGCACGACTCCAGATTCTGATCCCTTGTCCTAATATGGTCCCAAAAGGCTCACAAAAACCAACATAGCAATAAAGCAAATGTTGAGGCTTCAAAATACAAAGTCCATAAACCAGTGGCTGACATTGGTTTTATCATAGGGGTGATAAATATACAACATATGGTCTTAAGTCTAAAAGTATAATACATTTACCTGCAGATGCCCTATACGTGCTGCTCTGTGGTTTTCCACAACGTTTTGCACATCACTATTTAATACAGGAAGTAGGTGAACTAAAACAAGTCATCTTTCTTTGTGAGAGGACCATATTAATGAAACAAACCTCAATGACATCATAGAGATCCCTAAAGATGCTCCTGCTGCTTCTCTTGCTCCTCATCCTAAGCTTCCTTCTCCTTGTCCTCGACTTCCATCCAATTGTAATTCAACCTAATTGTGTTTCTCCCTCCTCTTCCTCATTTTGTTGGAGCTGTGAACAGAATTGGTGTGAATCTGAATTAATTTGTGCAAACGAGAAAAATCTACAGCTTTTCGGTCAGAGGTGGTCTTGTGATTTAAGCCGGGTAGATTTATGTGTTGATGCTACCTGCTTCAGCTCTACGACTGGCTGCTGAGTGATATTTACACCCCGGCTGGATTACAAACTTTAACCACGTGCTGAACTTTGACCCGGCTTTTATACCTCTTGTTAGTATAACGACCTCTTCTTGGCTTAATGCAGTGGTTCCCAAACTTTTTACAGGAAAAATGTTTGCGCCCCCCCCCACGCGCGCATGCACACGCACAAACGCATCCTCCAACCACACACATATTTTGCTCGTTTGCAGTTTAAACAATTAAGCAAATACAAGTAAACTGCAAAAAATTACAGGTAGTAATAAAATAAACTACTAACTCTTTTACGCTACGTCCGCACCTACACGGGTATTTTTGAACACGCAGCTGTTTCGTCCACGTAAACGGCTTTCTTTAATTTTTTTAAAACTCCTTTTTTGCGTTTACATGTGGACGAGGAATACAGAGTTCATCACGCAACATCAAAGGTGTGTGCCTTTTTCACGTCAGGCTGTGGCCACGTTATTGTTTACATGAGATGAATTGCAGAATTGCAGAATGGCAGAATGGCAGACAAAATACTGTTAATCTGACTATCTTCAGTTTCTACCTCAGAATTAGGAAGACATTCAAAAGGGCTGTTGGGGGGGGAATTAATAAAGTTTAATTTAATCTAATAACTTTCTCAGCCAAACCGATTTACTCACAAACAAATGAAACACTGAAAAAGCCGAACAATAACATTTTTAAGTTATCAAAGTGACTTATATATCATGTTTAACCCGTGTAGTAAAAGATCACGGGGGTTTGAAGACTATGTGTCAGCTCAGATATTTGAAGTTTGCACAGCTACATTCTCACCTGAAAATATGTTAAAAATAAGAGTGATATTAAAACTTAGTTGCTGCCGCCATTGTTGGAAACTGGAATTGGTTGGGCTGCGCTATGAATTCTGCGATATGGTTTTTCAATTTTGTTGTCCGGGTGGAAAATCGGAAGAAATTCGGGATTCTCCCGGAAAAATCGGGAGGGTTGGCATGTATGGTTGTGGCAACATCACTAACCGTGTCAAACACCTCAGAGTAAATCATATCACAGAATATGACGAGCGTATGTTGAGACGAAGAGGAGGAGAGGGGCAGGTCACGTCTCTCACGGAGTCCTTTAGTGCTGCAGGCAGGCAACGTGTTCAAATAGCACAACTTCAGGTTTTTTATTTCTATATGATGAACTCTGCATCATTAAGTGATAAGAACAAGTAATCTGATGTCCTCTAATCATTACGATGCAATAATTTGAGATACAATAAATAAAATAAGTTTTTGTACAAAGTATCGGTATCGGATCAGTATCGTCGATACCACCCTGAATATTACTTGGTATCGGATCGGAAAGGAAATCAGTGGTATCGCACATCACTACCACTCGCGCGATCTGCCTGCGCATGACGTCTCTCTCTCTCTCTGTCATTTGGGTTAAAAACACATATTAACAAATTGCTCAGTGATGAACAAGTACTCAGATCATTTACCTAAGCAGTGCGCTTTGTCAAAACAAAATGTGTGTTCATTACACTGACATTCTGTTGTGCAGTTGTTATTTACTTGTATTTTATAATTTGACTTTACATACTGCTGGGTGGTTTGTAAAGTTTACAATAACTAGTATCATCATTATGCTATATTTTCTAATATATATAATAACCTCAAAAGTAATGCCTTGAAGCAGAAAATAGTAATGCTTTATTAAAATTTAAAACTAAAGTACAGTATTTGAATGTGTGTATTGTGTCTACTGTTTGTTAACTCACCATATTCATAAACATCTTAATAATATTCTATTACCACATTATTTGTGATCAATGGGTTTGCTGGGTTAGGGGTGTGTGTGTGTGTGGGGGGGCTTTAGGCTTTGGCCCCCACCCCTGCCACCAGTATATTTTTAAGCAAGTATTTCTAACTTCATTTGAATATTCAGTTTCCTACCATCTGCTCTTAAAGAGTAATCACCAGGTAACCCGCCCTCCCCCCTTGCACACATGCACACAAACAAAACACACAGTATAATTCACACTCTAATTATAGTAAATAAATATTTATGTCATTTTACACCATCAAACTTAGACAGCTAAGGATGAAGAACCTTTTGTTCTTTAAAGAACCAGCAGACAAAATAAAAAGGTTCTTTGACGAGAGTGGAGTGAATGAAGATGAGTCTTCATAGTGACTCTGGAGTATGCATGTGCATTTTTCATGAAGAAGTTAAAGGATCTTGATGAATTCTTGATTATTATTGTTTATTACAGCTGGTAATAATCAATATTAATACATTATTACAAATAACTGATGCAATTTTTCATTAACAGCTGAAAAAGATGTCAGATATCAACTTATTTTTTCACATTTTGACCTTTGGTCTTTACAGTGTATTAACTGAGGAGTGATATGATTTTAATTCTACAGTATGTTGGCATCACAGGAGTCAGGCTGCAAAATCTGCAACATAACTATCAGTTTAACAGTCTTCCTAAACCAGGGATAGAAAAACGCATAGATAAGTGGATTTAGACAGGAATTACAATAAAGTAACCAGACCCCAAAAACGGAAAATTCCACACTGGTTGATGTGTCCTGCCCTGCGAGCGAGGGATAAAAGTAAGGACAGAAACACATCAGAAACACAACCACAACAACACCAATAGTTGTAGCTGCTTTTCTCTCAGACTTCCTAATGTGAACTGAACCCTTTGAAGTAACAAAGGCAACATGAGATCTCATAGCCTGAGCATGAGACGCAGCCACCAGAAATACTCTCACGTACAGAAATATAATCACAGCAGTGGGGCCGATGAAGGTAACTACGACATCAAAAGCACCAGTTATGAAATCAATTACAACTATGCATTCCCCGTCACAAGAATTATATCTGTCTGGCTGCTTCAGAAAGTTGTTTAGTATTGTGCCGTTATACAGCAGTGAACAGGCCCAACACAGACAGACACTGATTTGGACTTTTCTTTCAGTAACTGTGGTGGGGTAGGACAAGGGGTCACAAATAGCTACATACCGGTCAAATGAAATAAGCACCATGTTTCCTACTGAGGCAGATGTGAGAACAAAAGAGGCATAGTAAAACAGTCCACACATGAAGGTGCCCAAAACCCAGCAGCCCCCTAAAAGGAGGATTCGAGGAGGCATCAGCAGGAGGCCAACAAGGAAGTCTGAGACAGCGAGAGAGAGGAGGAAGAGGTTGGTTTGGTTGTGAAGCTGCCTGAGAAGAAAAACAAAGAAAGATGTAACATAATATTAATAAACCTGCAGCAGGTGGATCAACTGCTACAGTAATGCACCAAGTCTGAAAGTAAAACAACATACAATAAACAATCCAGTGCAACAAAGTAGGGCAAATCTCTCGTTTCCACATCATTCTGAGAGGAGG